TCTTCTACTGGTGGATATCCAGTTTTGCCAGCACCATTTGTTGAAGATGCTGTCTTTCCTCCATTGTGTGTTCTTGGCACCTTTGTCAAATATCAGGTGGCTTAAATTGCGTGTACTCGGGTTTGGGTCTTCAATCATATTCCATTGATCTATCTGTCTATTTTTGTGCCACTGCCATGCTGTTTTTATGACTATAGCTCTGCAGTATACTTTGAGATCTGGTATAGTAATTCCCCTGTGTTGCTTTTTGTGCTCATGTTTGCTTTGGCTATCCTGGGTCTTTTGTGCTTCCATATGAATTTAAGAATTTTTTTTTTCCTACATCTGAAGTATGTCATGGGGATTTTGATTGAGATTGCATTGAATGTGTGTATTCCTTTTGGGAAACTGTGTATTTTAATACTGAAATGGAGATCTTTTTTAAAGGTTAAAACCTGATTTAATTTTATGTCTTATAGGGTTTATACTGAGTACACTATTGTATAACTGTAATAATTCAACTGGAAACCTAAAAATTTACAGCCAATTTTGAAAAATATGCATCTTAGCTCAGAAAATTGTTATTGAATATGTCAATGCTGTTGTAATGAAATGCTTCTTTTAAGTAAAAAAATAAGTAAATGAAAATGATAATAAAACATAACAAAACCTCTGGGACACTTTAAAAGCAGTCCCTTTAATTATGTTGAGATATGTTCGACCCAGTTCAAATCCCTCTAGGACTTTGAACATAGATGCATGATGAATTTTGTCAAAAGCCTTTTCTGCATCAATTGAGATGATGATGTGGTTTTTGTCTTTGAGTCCCTTTGTATGATTGATGACGTTTATTGACTTGCATATAGTGAACCATCCCTTCATCTCTGGAATAAAGCCTAGCCGATCATGGTGAACGATCTTTTTGATGTACATCTGTATGTGGTTTGTAAGTATTTTGTTGGGAATTATTTTTAATGTAGGCACTTAGTGCTATAAACTTCCCTCTTAGGACTGTTTTTAATACATCCCAAAGGTTTTGTTGTTGGCATTGTCATTTCCACTTAGTTCCAGGAATACTTTTATTTCTTTCTTAATTTCTCTTTTGACCCATTCATCATTCAGGAGTGTTGTTTAACCTCCAC